CAGCCTGGATCTCCTCATAGTGCACGCTCAGCCACGCAGTTGGTTTGCAACTGCTGACTGCCTCACAGTGCCCAGGTTTCCTTCACCCAGCCCACCTTTTGATTGACTCTTCCCCATGGTTTGCCAGCTTTGCAGACAAAGCTTGCTTCTGAGCCTAGCTGTGCTCCTCAGCATAGGCTTACTGACCTACCTGTGGAGAAGGTTAATCCCTGTGCTGCCAGCCCACATTCAGCTCCAGTGACAACCAGGACATCTGCCTTCTGCCACTGCTGCTGGTCTCTCCTGTCAGTTCCCTGCTTTAGGCAACACAGCCTTGGGGCCTTTCTCTCTTACAGCTTTCTCTTCTCCCCTGCCTCGAATCTTCCTTCTGCATAATTTTGCCCAAAATTTCCCTCTTTAGCACACAGTCCTTGTTTTCTTTCTTCAATATTCAACTCGTCCTTTCCAACTTTGCCTTTAAGCACTGAGTAAATCCCTCTCACATGCATATCAAAACCTCCTAGCTCCTCTCAGGTACTGTGTTCCTATACAGGTGCTACTCCAATGTACGTATCACAACCCTACTCAGTACCAGCTCCAATGCAAGCTCCAGTATACAGTACAATCCCTCTTCTTCCATCAGCACTTACAGTATACTTTGACTTTCCTCTTTCATAATGGGGCTATTAATTTTGGTTTGAACAAGCTCAGACACTTTTCCCACCCCCTCTGGCCTGCTCAGCTTCCTCCATTGCACCATCACTCATGTTCAGAAGCTAGGACCAGCAGCCTCCACCTCCTTCTCAAGGAAAACAAGGACAAACATGAAAGCAATACGCTGAGGAAGGGACAGTATATAAGTCCCCAGCAAGAGAAAAGGGCAGGGGGCCAGGGATGTCACCCATTTGACAGAGCAGTTATTGATTAGTTTCAGTTCAAACCAATTATCACTGGTGGCACCAGTCACTAGAAAAGCCAATACTCAGTCACATTCTCTGATTTTATTCCACAAATAAGTTACTGCCATTGCTGTGAAAGGTCACAGCTTGGTGATACACTAGCAATGCAGGCATCAGGACTTGTCAAGATTTTTGTGTTTTGTTTAGCTGTAAAGGCAATTATCTAAAGACCTGATGTCTACTACTGACTTTGTTTTAGCTTTTGCTTTCCTTTATCCAATTGCATAGTGAAATGTTTGTTGTTATATGTACATTTTGTAACTAGCAAACAGTAACAGCAGGTAGTTATTCTGTGTAGAATGGATTATTTATGACCCCAAAATAAAATGCAGCATGAAGGATCAGTAGCATGGGATGATAACAAGGGCCATGGCAGTACAGATGACGATGATGTTGGAGGCCTCCTCAGGCTACAAATAGCTCACCAGTGGTTAACTACTGGTCATCAAATGGTGTGACCTTAGCAGATGGGTAATACAAATTTCAGATGTAACAAAGGAGAACAAACAAGGAGTACCAAACACATGCAAAATGCAGTACATATAGAAAAATTGGATCTACTGTGAAGTTGAGAACCAACAAAGAAAAAGCAGGATGTGGAGTGTATTAGTAAGCACATAAAAATGACCTCTGGTGGATTGTAGGATGAAAAGGAAGAAATTTTCAATTGTGCTTATTCCAGCAAAGAGAAACTCTACACATTAATGTCAGAGTCTGCTTGGTGGAGGACCTGGAACACTGAGGACTTGCTGTGCCCCCATCCCAGACTGGGGAAATCAGAGGGACAGTGTAGCGGTGTATATAAAAGCAGAGAAAAGGGAGTAATGCTAGAGAATTTATGTGTATCAGTTTTACCTGCTATAATTTGGACAGTGTTAGTATCCTTGTAATAAAAATACAATAATGTATAAATCCATCACGTAATTATCTCAACTAATAACAATTCCTTGAATAGACTATTTTTAACAAGAATAGCAATATATTCTTCCTGGGTCTACCTGTAAGGTAGACCTTTTGCTCATAACAAGATTTTGAATGTGACAAATTGATGGGAATTGAAACAACCTGCTTCATAGCTTGGATGTAACAAGTTGGTAACAAATGAAGTGTGCTTTCAGGAGCACGCAGACTTTTGTTTCTACTTGGCTTCTCCGAGTTGCTGGAGTGTGGGCTTTGTAGAGGCAGGGGTTTGGTTTTGGACTTATCCCTCTCCAGTCTGTCTCCGAGATGTGATGGTTGGGTTGAGGATACAAGTTTACCCCATTCAAAAGAGACCCTCAGCCGAAGAGTTTGACCTCCAACTCTTATTTCAGGTTCAAATAGCCTCCAATTTGAGGTTGCCAATCTGACCTTATTATTGATTATTTCCTATGTGTACACGTAGTGCTATCGCAGCACTCACTGTTTCTTCAGTCAGATTTTACCTGTGATTCATGTGACAGCCCATCCACAGGGTGATGAGTGGCTGAAAGCCTAAAGGCCACCCTCATTTTGTCCTTAGGTTTTTGTGAGTGACTCTGTACAGAGCGATTGGGCTGGTGATGCCAAGGGCTGGTGACATCCTTGGCCTCTATTTGCAGTCATCACTTCTCTTTGCTTCAATATACCCCTCTATAAACTATCAATAAAAATATTTCCTGTCTCTTGGTGAACATCATCCAGCTTAGTGACCGTTAGTAAAACACCTCGAAGTGTTCAGCTGAGAAGCACACTTTATAAGTGAGATGTAGGTTTCATTAGGAGCACACTGGCCACTTAATGGGCTCTGATATGTTAAAATGATTTCCGGGGGAATCTAGGGATTCTCTTTGCTGGCACTGTGATGTGCTCTGCAAATTTTCGCCTTCTCCACCGCATTAGGTTATCAGTCGTTAAAACAGAAAAAAAACAAAGGCAAATTGTTAAACTGAGCCTGTAAATTTTTTTCATTCATTTAAATAAAAACAGGATTTTCTCTTTAGCACCAAAAAAAGAGGCATATTTATTAGCATGGCTCAAAAGTGAATTTCTTAACTTTTACAATTAAGATGCAGCAAGTAGTGTCTATAGGGCTACTGCACAGAAGAAGTGATAGATCAAAATACAGAACACAAGACACAAGTGCAATCAGACATGCTTTATTTTAAATTCGTATTACACTGTAGATATAAAAAATCTGGAATTGAAAGCAGGTTTATATGTAGGAGTAAAAACTGGATAATTTTATTAAAATATTTATACTCTGGTAGGACGGCTTAATCACTTAACAGAGATTGTCACCTTGCATTTACAATACACTGTTCAGTCCCTTGTATCCCAGAGGACTTAAACATAAGACTTGGATATTCCAGAGTTTCTAATGTTGGTCACATAAGCTTTAAAAAAAGAGTGCGTGCTCATGCCTGAAGTGAAAGAACCCAAAAATCTGGTGTTCCTGGATCCAGGGGTACTCACTGAGCATAACAGGTGCTATGAATATTTGCTTTGTTCCACATGCTTTGGCAAAAATGCAGCCTGTATTTCTTCCCTCCCAGAACTTGCTTATTTTTAACAGCTGGCCACAGGTTTTGCAGGAGGCAACATGTAGCAAGAAGGGGAGCAGGAGGCAAATCATCCCTCTAGCTTTCTCACAAATGAGACCACAAAATGACATGGCTATACACAGTACAATAAAGCCCCAGTGTTTAATGAGCATGAGGCTTCTTTTAACTTGTTTGGAAGCTCACCTGTGCTGTTAGTACAGGACAAGCTCTTACACAGTGCGGCCAGTGGTGAGAAATTGCTGCAACTTGTGGCATGTGCACCTTTGCCTCATGGAAAAAGCTCCTAAGAAGGATTTCAGGGGAGATAAACAAAAACACACACACAGACACCCCTCCTCTGCTGCCCTAGCACAATGGGGTACATGGCTTAGGGTGGAGCGGTACCCTGCATGGAAGACTAATGGAAACCAGAGGTCCAGAGCAGCTTCTGGGCCAGAAGGTCCTCAGAGGAGGAGGCCCCACTGCACCTCATAGAGGAATATGCTGAGAGAAAGGCAGGAAGCAGATCCAGGTTGTGGAGTTTCTGACTGTCAAGATACACCTTTATTCCTTTTCCAGCTGAGCTGCTGTCCCTGTCCTGGGGTTGCTCACGTAACAAGACATCATTCTGCAGTAGCTGTGATTGCCAGGAACTTGCAGGCATGGTTTAGTCTAAACTATTTGCCAGGCTTGTGGGGTACGGACACCCCCCCACACACACACTCAATGGGGCTACAGGATGGGTTCAGGAGAGAAAAAAGGGCAGAAAGGGATGACTAGAAACCACACAATACAAAAGAGATGTGACCAGGAAATGCAAGTTTGGTGTGATGAACTCTGAGCAGAGGCATGAAAAACTTTGGATTTTCATCAAGCAAAGCAGAGGAACAGTGTATAAACAGCATACAGGGTAGGATGAGGGCACGAAATAAAGGAGTGAGTATGTGTGGGTGCCTGCACACATGGAAGAGTATAAGAAAATGCATAGGGAAGCAGCAAGAGGGAACAGGGAGCTGGGAATATTCCAGAGATGATGCATTCTGAGAGCTGCTTCCAGCAAAGTGAGATCTCCATGAACTAGAAAATTATAACGTTGTAAGATAAAGCAGTCCCTTTAGCTCAGAATACCTGTTTGTATCGCAGCCTGAATGATCTACCATAACGTTGTGCAAGTCAGCCCAATAATTTGTATCACTGGGTACTTTTTTTTTTTCTTTTCAGTGAAATATCAGGCCTTAACTAAAACTAAAGTTCAGACTACTTTGGTGAATGGAGCTTTCTAGATTCCCTTGCAGCACTAATGTAAAAGACCATAAATACAAGTGAACTATAGGAATAATATGGCCTAGAATTGCCTTTAATTACATGTACCTAATTTTAAATCACTGGCTATCCAGGTACTTCTTCATGCTTCTCCTCAGTATTACTGATTACTTTTCTTTATCAAAATTTGTTCAGCACAAGGATGACCAAAATAATAAGCAGATTTGTGCCTCTTCCCCCTCCTTCAACATGATATTTTGAAATATAGCTGAATGAGAGATGAAGGCAGAGCCTTGGTTCATGGTTTCTGAATCTGGACATTCAGCTCACCATACACATGTCTCAAAGCATCACAATTCAGGCTTGCAATCAGCTTTCGTAACCCTGGTCGTGTTGGGATGCATTTTAATTCCCAGATCAAGGTAGAGTTCACTGGGATTTGCCTGTAGGAAAAAAGGAAAGTGACAATATTGTGATCAGTCAGACGACGATCTAAACCTCAGTTGCAACTGGAGAAACTGAAGATGGACAGTGTAACACGTCTCAAATTTTTTATGTTTCACTCATTCTCACAAGCATCCTACAAATTCCTTCCATCTTCTGTTCATTACAGAACTGACTCCTTGGGACCTTTCCTAGCCTTTCCTCCAGGCTAATTTAAAATTTCCAAAATGAATCAGTTTTCCTCTGCCTTCTGTCACTTCCTCTCAGAATCACTTTCAGAATGATCTTCTTTATAGCTAACACATTTTTTCTACTTTATAATTTCATTTTACCTGTTTATTAAAAGCCTATAGCCTGTTGCCGATTCCTTAAATGGTTAAATAAGTCATTGTTATGAAGTGTCCAGGGCATTCCCTTGCAAACCTGATGCAGTGTTGATGAGATGCTGAGCCCCTCTGCCAGCTCCTACCCTGAACCACTCTGCCATGGTTGTAACATCAGCAGATCTCCCACTGGCCACTGCATATGACTTCTTCATGTCAGGAAAAATAAGTCAAAGTGTTCTTGGGAGTCCTGCTGTTAGCAGGTACTCTTTCATACTATGCATGACTTTTGTTAACTTATCCTATAAAGCAACTGTATTCCGTGCTGCTTATGATTTCCATTTTTTTCTGCAATTAGGATGCATAGAGAGCCTAGAGTATTGGGTTTCTGTGTTTTCTCAGTGCTTTCACTATGTTCTGTGAGTAGATTTTGAAGGCTGATATTGATTGACTGATTATGTTTGAGGGATGTCAGGATATGGCTGCTCTATGAGAACCAATGGAGAAGGTAGCATAGTGGGGAGCTATTTACAAAAAGGAATGCTCTTTTCCACAGCACTAAGTAAAAGGATTATGAACTGAGCCAGTGTTGTCATCTCACATGGCTATTGTGCAAACAGCCGAATAAAGAGTAAAGTAAGCCTAAACTTTAGTCACTGTTTCAAATTCTTATCTGGCAGAATTTGGGTCTCAGATGCCATGTCCTATGCCAGGGTGAGGACAGAAATGACTACCCAAACTTAGCACAAGTTGCCACAAGATAAGAGACTTTAATTAGCTCTAAATGAGGTAGCCTGTGATCCTCTCACCTGAGTATTCGTTTTAGTGCAAGTCTGCCCTTGCTAAAATGAGAGGTATTCTAGCTCCTTAGAGGTTAGCTTAGGTATCTCTACGTGGCACTGCATTGTATTTTGCATACACAGTCATAGGTATCCTGGGCATGCACCCAGTTTTAGAAAAGGAAAAGCAGAAGATCATGTTTTTGATGTAAGCATGTGCAGACTGCTACCAGCAAGTGTCTTCCCTCTTTTTATCTTTGTTCTTAATGAGAGATATTCTGTTCCCCTCAGCTGGCCTGCCTGCTCCACCAAATGTCCACTAAAACAGTAACATGATAAAATAATGACTTCATTTGCTGCACAAGGTTAAATACCTTTTTAAAATTAGAGTTTATGTGAATGATCAGCATGGGATTATCTTTATGGAAAGTGAAGAAGACATTATACAAGTCTGCTGTGCAGCAAGGTTCTGTCTACTTTCTTGAGCACTTGGGGGCCAGATTCTCTAAGGATGAAGGTTTCCAGACAGCATCTTCACAGTGCCCCAGTGAGAAAGGGTAGCACCACCATCTCTGATTGATAGTGCAGTCATCTCTGCATATATATACACACACATAAATATATATTTATACATTTATATATATGTGAGTGTATGCATGTGCAGGAAGATGACAGTTGTGCTGGGAAATCAAACCAACCTTTTCCTGTTTATCTACTGTCCTACTTCTAAAACAACTTGCTTGCCTCTACAAATGCTAATTCTAGCTGAGCTTTGACATGTAGAAACACCTGAAGTGAGTTACCTACTAGGATGAATGCATGCTTGGCTAAATGACTTGTAACACTATCCATCACTGCCTGGTTAATTCTAATTTGTCATGTAAAGACTATGCTCCATGTAGGAATTGCTGCTGCCAAAGGCTTTTCCATAAGTCATGCTCCTCATCTGTCTGAGGCTAATAGCTAAATATTAATATCAGTATCAATATCAATATACATCTATTCTTTATGAATGGCCAATACTGAAGTCCCCAAGTCACTTCATTCCCAGAATAATGTTGTATCAGCTGGATCACACGTATCTGTTTTGTGGAGCCACTCAAGCAATACAGAAAAGCTACCTTAAAAATACAGAGAGGTCAAAAGTCTCATTGACATAGAGAACTGCAAAAGCCACAGCCTATATGTGACAGTCCTTGATGGACAGGGAAGCAGTGGAAGGGTGGAAAAAGCCTAGAATAGGTTTAACTCTCTTTGCAAATGGAGTAAAGCCACCCTAATCTCATTTTTCTGGGAAAGAATTCAGTGATGAATGGTTCTGCATAATATGCTGAGCCATCACCACACCGGATCCATTTATCACTCTGAAAGCATGGAGCCAAATGTGATTATTATTTAAATAAACTACAACTGCCCCTGCTCTGTCCTCTGTGTGTACAACCTGCAGCATTCATTCATTTCAGAGAAGTTAAATCTTAAAATGACTAAGCCGATTTGTTTCCATTTAAAATGATGCCAAGGGCACTACTGAAAAGGGGAAAACATGGTGACTTGAAGGAAAATGACGTCTGTTCTGTGATTCATTTTTCTCCCTAAGTCCTGTTCCTTTGATGCACCTGACAACTTCTGCATCCTTGAAGGCAAGAGCTGACCACGGCAGCTTTTGGCTCGAGAAGGATGCAGAACAGCAGGGGAGGCTGGCACAGCTGGGCAGCAATGAGGGCTATTGCTGCAACTTGTGTAACTCGCATGGACCGTGCTGAGTCATGTTCAGCAGCGCCTGTGACACACCACGTGCATAAACCAAGCACGATATGACACCCTTTCACAGTCCTTTTTCTATCCAGCTCCACTCTGGAGACTGCTTTTCATCTTTTTATCCCTGGCCCAGGTGCAGTCAGGCTCAGACCTCTCATACTGGTTGCAGATAATGCTGACAATTTATGCAGCTGCTGAAGCACGAGCAATTTTTCTAGCTCCTTTTGCACACACCTGGGGCCCCTCAGCTCAGGTAGTGATAGATAACATCACTTTGGCTGCCCAAGATGAAGCAATGGCTGCAAAACTTTCCAAGGATTCCAGTTACATATCCTGGAACTGGATAGCGCTGAGCTTATAACCCTGAACTCAAATGGAAAGAGGGTTTAGGAAACAACTCGCTTAGTGTACGGGCACCACTGTGTCAGTGTGAGGTGCAACTCTGAGTATAACGAAGGTGGCTGAAGGACTTTCCCTTTCCTCAGGCTGCTCCCTACATGCCTCTGTGCCAGGGCAGCCCAGCACAGTGGTGCTACTGGGGGAGCTGTGTGCTTGCACACCCGCTGCAGTCATCCTGGCAGGATCTGCTGCATCCAACACACGTTTCCTGCCCTGACATAAGCTTGCAGAGATCATCTGAGGTACCTGAATGTCTTGTATAATCATGATTAACATGAGTGGAGAAAAGCCCTTTTTGAAAAACAGCACAGGACTTGATTTGCACATACTGAGCAAGTGGCAGTAAACACTTCAATGTGGAGGATAAATCTGTCTTTCTTTCTGTGATAGCAACTCATAGGTGCTATTGTCAAGTGCTAAAAATAATGCAATATAGTTAAAAAGTAAATCCAGGCTGCATTAGCAACTACCCACAAGCACTACCCCTTCCTCCGACACTGGTACCCAACAGATGAAAAGCTCTCTCGGTCTCTCTGCACAGTCTCTCCGGACAGCCTGACTTCTTCTGACTATTAAGACCTATAGCTCCCCTGTGTAATGAATTTTAAAGTAAGGAGCGAGTGTCTGAATTGAATTACTCAGCACTGCATTAGTTAAACATCTCTTGTGAGCTTCCTGCTGCGAGCAAGCAGGAGATGAACTCCCAGCTAGTTGTGTTTTTTCCCTACCTGAACTCCTTTTTCATCGTCCTCAGCACGCCGGGTCCCTCGAGGCGGAGTGTGACATTCTCCAGGGTTTGTTTCAGAGGATTGGTGAATTTCACAGTCACAGACATTTCTTTACCAGCTACCATCTCACCTTGGGTCTGCAAGACAAGAAAAGGACAAAGCTCCACAAGCTGATAATAATAAAATGCCCTACGGTGAAATCTGTAGGGTTAAATACACAGTACTTGCAAGGAAGGAGAGGACAGGGAATGGAGCACACAGCAAAACAGCATGAGGCAGAGAAAGCCTAGTCAAAAGAAAATTGTTGGCTGAACCCATAGGGACCACTGCAGATTTTTCTACCCTTTGCTATTTTTCCTCAAGCCACATGGCAGTTCAAGAGGCCAGCCCTCATTTCCATAGAAAAACCAGAAATCTGCATGCACAGTCCTGCAGCTGAGTGTCTGAGGACGAACCCAGCTGAGAGGGGACTCTCTCCCAGATTATTCCCCCCTCCTCAGGCTCCCCACCAGCACAGAACTGCATGGCCTGCTCAGGATGCAAGCTCCAGAAGCAAAGGACAGGTCTTGTTACCCTAAATTAGAAACACCAGGTCACGTTGCTTGTACCCCCCAGAAGCGTTGTGCTCATCTTCCTCCTGCCTTGCAACCATTTCCCATGTTTTGAAGGATCTCTACCCTTGCACGTGGGCTCTAGTAGACCTGAGAGACAGTTGTCCTCCAAACCACTTACATAGCAAAAAAGCTTACATTTTGCACTGGAAAATATTAAACTGTGAGACTAATAAACAGTGATTGCATTGACTTCCATGTGTATTACAGGACACAGCCGAAGGGATCCATCTGTCCCTTCACTTCAATGCTGGTACCTCAGCTGCATGGAAAACACCGCCAAATTAATATGCTTTTAAACAAAAACTGCATGCATGGGGATTTTGTGGTGGGTTTTTTTTACCTCTAGAAACACAACATTTCTCACAAAATATAAAAGACTCAGGCAAGGGTTTTCAAGAAGATCCCAGCATGTCCATGGAGTACTTTAAAGGGCATTGAGAAAGGTAACTAAGAAAAAAAAAGGATCTTGTCAATAAATTTGAAGTGCTATGCTGAGGTGTGCAGTCCTACTGCAAATTTTTAAGGAGTACAACAGTTGCAAAAAGCTGGAAAGACTCTGGTCTAAGGGTTCATTCTGCACCCAATACTGATATATTGACTGGAGTAAAGAATGAGATACTCCCAGGTAACCTCTCAACAGTATTTGGCCAGCTGAATTTGCAAAAAGACATCAGTGGCATTTTTGAGAGCCCTAGCCCAATTAGAGTTTGTGTGTGCTCCTTATTTCAACTGCGCATCTAAGATCACTTTTACACGGAGGTATTAAAAATCATCCTGAACACGCGCAACTGAAACCATGATCTGTATATGAAGAGCTTATTTCTGTAACCTGGTCTCAAGATAAATTAAAATGAGGTGTAATTCCCTAC